CTGAACGAGCTTGGCAGTCTCCAGAGAAGAGGTCGACCATGAAATGAAATATGTTCGCGCCATCGCCAAAAAAAAAAAAACTACAGCTTGCTGACAAGAGCAATGCCGGTAGGCTGGTTCGGGTCAAAGAAAATCAGACTAGGGATCTCGCGAGCGATTCAGGGCGAGGACAACAAGAGGATCGAAAAAGCGAAAGAAAGAACTGTAGAGAAGAGGAGACAGAATGCTCTCAAAAGTGCGGAGAAGAACAAGAATTTGTCTAGCGCTTGAAATGATCGCACAAGTGGTGATAGGATAGGATTTTTTTTATAAAAGTAAGAGTGCTCACAATGCAAGTGATCTCACTCTGCCTGCTTTTCACTCTTCGACATTCTGCTACTCGGGCTCGTGGTCCAAAGATTAAATGGCTAATGATTTAGAATCAACCAGGGTCTGTGAGGTCAGCTATTTTAGTAGGAAGGAAAAAAAATAACTTACCAGTTGAGAATGCTATAGAAGTAAGTTCGAGCATCCATCTGTTCTATGGAAATATTAAAAAGCACGATTTATCTTAAGTTTCCATTTTATATTGACGGCGAACTGCTTTCTGTTTTTACCAAGGTGTTGTCCACTGGTATCATGGGGCTGGCATTGTCCACCTCGGCTAGACACTCTCTAACTTTGGTAAGACCTACACAGTAATGAAAGGCTGTTTCATTGATTTTAGACTTGTATAGACTTTGAGATTCCTCTACGATTGTCATAAATTACGTTGTTCTACCTCCGAACTGAGATACGTTTTCCGGTTGGAGGAGAACGTGTCATGTGTCGTGGGTCAAAACTCACTAACTCGCCAGGGCGAACAAAATTCACTGACTCCCTAGGGAAACAACAACTTGAACTTTTGACTCACACATGATCAGGACGCGCTCCTTGAAACCGCGGNGATCGAAAAAGCGAAAGAAAGAACTGTAGAGAAGAGGAGACAGAATGCTCTCAAAAGTGCGGAGAAGAACGAGAATTTGTCTAGCGCTTGAAATGACCGCACAAGTGGTGATAGGATAGGATTTTTTTATAAAATTAAGAGTGCTCACAATGCAAGTGATCTCACTCTGCCTGCTTTTCACTCTTCGACATTCTGCTACGCTTCTTTGACTAAAGACTCACAGGAAACTCGGGCTCGTGGTCCAAAGATTAAATAGCTAATGATTTAGAATCAACCAGGGCCTGTGAGGTCAGCTATGTTAGTAGGAAGAGAGAAAAAAAAACTTACCAGTTGAGAATGCTATAGAAGTAAGTTCGAACATCCATCTGTTCTATGGAAATATTAAAAAGCACGATTTATCTTTAAGTTTCCATTTTATATTGACGGCGAACTGCTTTCTGTTTT